GATCAAAGTGAGCAAACGAGCTTTTAATCCAGAGCAACGGTTGATCATAACTTTAAGGTACTTAGTTATTAATTTTTTTTATTTTGTGTTTTGTTAAATGAAAAAAAAATGCAAACATGTGTAGTATAATTATTTTACAAATGTTGTGTGTGTGTGTATAGTATTTTGTTCTATTCATATATATCAATCATTTTTTTTTGCAGATATTTAGCAACTGGTGATCAAATACTGTCCATTGCACTGGCTTTTAGATATGGAGAATCAACTGTGCGGAAAATTATCCACAAAACATGTTCAATTATAGTAAAAATATTTCAACCTATATATCTCCGTTTGCCTACCAAAGAAGAATGGAAAACTATTAGCGCTGGTTACTTGGAAAATTGGAATTTTCCTAATTGTGTTGGATCCTTCGATGGAAAACACATAGAAATACAAGCGCCACCTAATTCTGGGAGTTTATTCTACAATTATAAAAAGACATATAGTATTGTGTTGATGGCTGCATGTGATTATAGATACATGTTTACATTGGTCGATGTTGGCTCATACGGTGGCAATAGCGATGGTAGCATTTTTACGTCTTCTGATATTTATTCAGCACTACAAGAAGGAACATTAAATATTCCTAAAAATTTAATAAATCTTCCTGGAAGCAACATTAAATTACCATATGTTTTTCTTGGTGACCGTGGTTTTCCAATTAGTACTAATCAGATGAGACCTTACTGTGGAAAATTACTTAATAAAAAAAAAAATATTTAATTACAGGTTAGTAATTTTTTTATATACTTGTAATATAATAATAATTATATATAATGTAATAATAACATGTGTATTACTTCTATCTATTTTAATCTCTCTCTTATGTATTTTATTAATTTTAGATTGTCTAGAGCAAGACGCACTGTCGAAAATATCTTTGGAATTTTATCATCAAGGTGGAGAATTTATCGAAAGCCAATTCATATGCATCCTAAATATGTGGACACGGTCGTTATGTCAACAATATGTTTGCATAATTTTATAAAATTTGAGAAAGACTTTGCACAAGTAGAGAATAGAGTGTATTGCCCTCCGAATTTTATAGATTCGGAAGATGCAGCAGGCAATATCATTCTTGGAGAGTGGCGGCGAGATGTTGGAAATGCATTTAAAGACATTCCACCTACTTCGATGCATCATGCAACTACAATTGCATATAAGCAGAGAGACAAATTGGCTGATTATTTCGTGACACAACCTGGTGAAGTTTTATGGCAGTATGACTACGTTAGAAGAGGACTGCATTATGATGATCTATGAAATATTTTAATATAAATAATACATTATATGTAATATTGTACAATTTATTTTATAAGACAACAAATTAAAAAGTAAATAAAAAATTTGTAGAAATAGTTTATTTTATACTTTAGATTATATAACAACAAAATTACAATATTATTATACATATATAAAAAATGTAATATAATAAATATATTGTTCTATCTCATTACAGTCTTCTCTTCTCTTTTATTTCTTTAGTTTAGTACTCTGGTTAATAACTTTGCAACAAAACTTAAATATCAATTAATATAAGAAAGGCATAGAGAGCCGTCGCGGGATGTTAGTGCAAAATTATAATTTTTCTTAAAGAAATTAATTTGTTAGTTTACGTGAGACAGTTAAATTTGCACACCGATCTCTGGTTCGAGATACTTAAAGTGTACGAAAATTTTAGTACATTGTTCTCACATATGGAGAATCAGTATGTACTGATAGGAATTATTAGAAAGAAGGGAAGATAGAAAAAATATCAGGGCGCGAGTGGCTAAGCCGGGAAATGATTATGACGCATTATGACGCGTTTACGTCCTACAGATTTGTTGATTTCCTAATCTAAGAGAAATAAATGTTAGAAGCGTGGGGTCTGAGTAGTTTAGTGGTCAGAACATTCGCTCGGCAAGCGGAAGATCCGGGTTTATTTCTCGGCTTAGCCACTCGCGCCCTGATATTTTTTCTCTCTTCCCTTCTAAACGCATAAAATAAGGCTAAGTATTTAAAGTTGTAAGTATTTAAAAAAAGTATATATTGAAACAGATTATTGCAAGTCACAAAATTAATGTTTTTTTTATCAAGATTTTTTTACAAATGATACATACAAGAAACTAAAAATACCTTTATATTTCATGCTTTATAAATAAGTTATATGACATATACATTTATTATAAAAATATATACAATATACAAAATGATATTAACTTTTTACATAGATACTTTGATGTGAATATACTTAATATGGAGCATAATATACATAATATATACACATGAAGCACATGAATAAAAGTATTTTACAGAAATTAGAATATGAATGTATGTAACTAAATAATATAAATGTTTGCAAAAATGTTGCAAAATTTATGTATAATACGTACACTTTTTTATCCTTCAGAATGCCTTCAACCCATTTTTTTCAGCCGGGTTTCGTAGCACATAACACAAACACACACACAACACACACACACACACACACACACAACTAACCTAAAAGCAGAGAGAAGACTGAGAGTGGACATGCCCGCATTTTACGTGTTTCCGTGGGTTAGCGCCTCTATGTGCACAAAACGTGCACATTGAACTACGTAGCCAATGTCCACGAATCCCGTAGGCAATGTCCACGATTTTTTGGGTCTCTTCCGTGCTACGTCCATGACTTTTTGGTTCCGATCAGTGATGCGATATCTACTACCGGGCTCAGTGATGCGATATTTCCCACAGCGGTCCCGGCTCCGCTGCCTCACACAACCTTCCAGAAGTGCTACGTCACGTATCCGTGTGAGCTCGGCCGTTCAACCAATGGAAGAGAGCGAACGCTCCCTTCCACCGAGCCGACACAACAGACGATAAATGCATGCTACTTGCATGTTAAAAGCAAGCGTTTCTGATTCAGAAAAGAAATTCTGAGGCGAGTGGCTGGAATATTAGAGATCACCTGTTCGAAACCTGCTTCGTGCTAACTTTTTTTTCTTTTTCCACTATTTTGTTTCTAACATAGTAAATTATTAGATTATTTTTTT